GTGAGGCGCAGGGTCGCCGGGGAGGGGGAGAGGGGCCACTTCCCCGCAGCGGGTCCTGGGCCCGGAGAGCGATGGCATGTGCGTGGTCGCAGATGCAAACTGCCCTCTCCCCTTTTGCAGGCTGACTCGGTATATCGTCCTGCTGTGCTTCACCAAGTTTTTGAAAGCTGTGGGGCTGCTTGAATCCTACGATCTTCTGAAAGCGGTACACCTTGTGCAGTTTTTCTTTATAGTACAGCTGGGGTGAGTGCGCTGAGGGTGACGCCTTGTCCGCCGCCGTAACGGCACGCTTTGTCTACAGTGTTCTTTGTCAGCATCAAGCTTATACATTGCATTGTGTTATTATAGATTAATCGAAGAGGAGAAGGCGGCGTAGCGGTGAATCCAGGAAATATTCTGATCATAGCAGTGTTTTTCTTTCATATCTATACTCACTATAATTTCAGAAACTTCAATGAATTTGCTACTTTAAAATATTACAACGGTACTGATCATACTGACACTCAGGAGTGTCCAAATTTTCTTAAGAAACGTATAGAAGACAAGCTTTCTTCCTTATAATTTGTATTCCTGTAGTTCTTGTGAGCTTCAACTACTATTTTTCCCTGATTGAGAACTAAAGAGTAGAAACTGATAGCGAGCACCATACTCTTTTTCCCCATCACTTATTCTTGATCACAGTTTAGAAAGATGCATGCTGCTTCTTACCATTTCTAACAAGACTGTGTATTCAGCATTCCATATGTGAAGAAGCCTTTGGGTGTATGTATCTCGCTAATAAAAAACATAGTATTATTTCTCCTCAAAACTTCTAAGATCAGTTATTTTGATTTTTGTAAATCACAGATAGACTTCTCATTAGCTATTCTTGAAAACCTTGTATGTAAAATTGAGCAGAACTGAAGTTCACTTGTCATCAACATACATAATGCAGCAGGGAAAATACAAACAGTGAGTGTGATCAATGTGGCCTTTTAGTGAAAAAATGTAGAGGAAGCAGTTTTGTTATCTGAGCCTGATATGAGGAGAGACCTAGTTATTTAGAGCTGGTTTGAATAAAAAGCTGACTGCTAATACACTAATAGAGAAAACTTTCTACTTTTAACAGGTCTGCATTTTTTATGGTTTTGT